TTAAGATTAATTAGTTATAATAATATAATTAAGTAAGTTAAGTAAGTTAAGTTAATTATTATTATTACTTACTTACGTACTACTACTACTACTACTACTACTACTACTACTACTACTACTACTACTAACTAACTAACTAACTAACTACTACTACTACTACGTACGTACGTACTACTACTACTACTCGTCTCTCTCTCTCTCTCTCTCTCTCTCTCTCTCTCTCTCTCTCTCTCTCTCTCTCTCTCTCTCTCTCACTCAGATTATAATGGCACACAACATTTATATGTTATCTATTAAGGCATTTGTGATGCATGTCAAGCAACATTCACAATTCATGCATCCATATATAACCATGTACAAAACCAACCCATTCAACAATAACCTGTAATAGTTTAAACATACATAATTGAAAATGCAAGTAGTAAGAAATCAGCCCTTTCAACAATAACCTGTAATAACTTCAACACTACCTACATTCACCAATGAAAATCTGTTATCCTATTCAAATATGCAATTTGAATAAGTACTTGTGAATTGCCTCAACACCTTGGCAAGTGTCTTGTAATATCACAAGACTCAACAGAGTTAAGCCTCTTTTTATTGGTTAATCAATAGATTCAACCAAATCAATCCTGTATGACTTAGCTCAGGAACCTACAAAGCCAAGCTGAGTCACTAATCAAAGGTAAAAGGTCAAGTCTTTGCAATTTTTAAAGCCTTGTAGATAAATACAACTAAAAAGGAAATGTGATGTAGCTGGTCTATCAAAATCAAGAACATGTCATGGAATAACTGTAATAATAACATGTATTGTGAGACAAGTGAGATAAAAACGGAGTTCTGTGTGCTGATAATTTGATATAAGGAAAGGACTTACAAGATTATATACTCAATAATAATAATAATAATAATTACAAGGTTAGAAAATAAAACAAAGTGAAAGGTATCTAACAACCAAATTCAAAGTGGTCCAAGTGCTTACATTCCATTTTCATCCTGAATAATTTTCCAATCAATAAGCTCTTTTATCAATTCGTTTGTTGTCACTGCATCTTGACTGGAGAATGTCGGTTTTGCAGAACCTGTGAGCGTGATGCTTCCTTTAGATTTAAAATACTATAAGAAAGTATCATACAAAGAGGGTAGTAAATCGCAATGCACATGAAAGAGCATCTAGAAATCGATAAATATAAGTAGCAACTGTGAAATTATCAAAAGCCTTGTGCATATTCAAAAGTCTTGCACATATTGAAACAGCGCAATGAAAGACAAAATGTCTCAAGGATCTATACAAAACTTGTCTAAAAGAGTTCCAACAAAACAAAATCCATAACCTTAGGAAAGAAAATTGTGGACGAAGATTTTCAGTACACTTTAGAAAATAAAGAATAGAAAAAGGGCAACTGATATGCTTCAATTGTTTATTTTACCATCAATTTCAAATCACCCAATTAAGTCATAGACACTTTTTAGGTGTACCATTTCATTCGTAAAAAAAATATAAGGACCTTGTACGTTAATGCTAAACATGAACTCGTTCAAGTTGAACTACATGTCAACAACACATGCAAGATGTAAGACCTTCTAGTGCTAATTTCAACACGAAAATAAAAGACAACCTAAGACCATGAACCAAATTACTGCTAGAATGCAAGCAATCCATCTTATTTAGCATCAAGGGTTCGCCACAAAACAAAATAGAGGCCCTCAAAAAAGACGATAGTATGGAAGATAAAATTCCAAATTATTACCTTCATCTAACCTACACCTTGAGCCACTAGGAGAAACCATGTGAATATGCTACTGTATAATAACAATCAAAGAACAAAGATAAATGGACTTTTTTCATGTAGATAGATAGAGAGGTGGATTTCATATGGAAAAAATTCTTACATATTTGATCATTTAATGACATGACAAACCTTAAAAGTAATACAAAAGAAAATAACATCATATTGATTAGAGGAATGATAACCCCAAAAAAGCAGTCCAAGCACTACTTAATTACCATCGTTTTTCAATTCTTTTTTTCCCTTTATTCATACAAGACATTATTCTAGATTATGAGGGACATGGCTTAATACATGGGCATATGATTGCCACATCATTGGTTTTTGTGAATAGCAAGATCTACCATAGAACACAAAACACTTTATTCTTCAAGTCAAGAAGCCCTTAACTCCTACTTGATATGGCCATGTATCACTAGGATTGATGCAACAGAATACTTAGCAGGATACTGAAGAGATCATGTTTCTTACAATGAACAGACAAACCCCATTGCATAGTTCGTCAACAAGCCAAATGTAATTAAGGGATACAAAATACAGTGGTCATAGAGAGACATGATAAAGCAACATCCCAATAAGAGCTACTAATCCAAAAAAGGAAAAAAAGAATCCCCAAGAGCTCAAATGAATAGTTAATAGGATTCCCCTTCCCTAAAGTGTGCTAAAGATCAATTTTGATGGAAGCTCCAAGGAGCCCTAGACTAGCAAGATTTGGGGCCATCATTTCTGATGCTAAGCCAAAATCATCAAGCCAAGTTTTATTGGTTTGAGTCACACTTTTATACGAAATAACTTTGAGTCCCAGACTATCAAAAGTGATATTTTAAAATCCATTCAGGGGCACAACAGTCAGTGCTATGGAGAGTCCATTAGCTTATCAAAACCGGTTAGTGGTCAATGCTGCGTAAAATGCTACCCATTAAAAATTATATAACCATTATATAATTACTCCCATATAATTACTATTTTGCTTTACTATTAATCATACATTTTATGCCGCAGAGTTCAAAAGATGAATGCTATTTCACATTCTAAAATCAGCATTTACAGCCTTTAACAAGAGAATTATGAATTGGGTAGCTATAATCACAGAAACATAGTTATGTTATACATGCGAAGTTTTATCGTTTAGTTGCAAATATCAGCATTTTATGTCAAATTGAAGTGTTAAAACCAAGCAAACCCAAATCCCTCTCTTGCAAAAACCATATTGAGATCATGCAACCCCACTCTTCATTCCACAAGAATAGAGCGATAAATTACTGAGCACACAGATAAATCCAACACAACACTGTGCTCTTCAATGAGGAAGACATCACAGATATCACAAATCATCAGACAAGAAATCTTCAAGAAGAATGTCATAAAGATACTTATAAAGCTATAATAACAGAAAATCCCCAAAAAAATATTAACTAAAATGCCACAAATCTCATGACTTCTCCAAAACCAGCCCAAAATCACATAAATTGGCAAAAACACATCCATTAATAAACATATCTTGAAAATCAGGGGAAAAAATACAGAGATTCAAGAACCAACAAAACCTTAGCAAGAGAAATAGGTTTACAGAAAAAAAATAAAAAATTAAAAAAATAACCATACCTGGAGCTCTGATGTCAATGACGGATGGGAGGTTGGTGATAGAGAGAGAAAGAGATCTAGGGATACACAGCTAGATGGAGAGAGATACAGAGAGAGAATAAAGTAGTTCTGCAGAGAGAGATGAGAAAGAAAGCCATTTTCTAGAAATGAAAAGAGAGAGAAAGAGATGAGAGAGGTACTTGGTGAAGCAGGCGAGGAGGCTCTGTGAAGAGTGATACTGGGAGGTTGACGAGGATGGAAGAAGAGAAGGCTGAGTGCAGCGAATAACAGAGGAGAGGGATGGCTCAGCGAGTGGGCTCTGGTTGATGGCGGCCTGCTGCGAAGTGACGCTTAGGGTAAACTTTCGTGGGTGAAGTTTTATAAAAACTTCCCATTTCAAGTTCCGACCTTTTGGTCGGAACTTTTTTTAACACATAAACTGAACAGTAAAGGGAACATAAACAGTAAAGTGAAGTTTCCAAAAGACACCACCTATTATCAAACACGTGTTTTGTAGGAAGATAAACATTTCCTAGCAACGAGAAGTTCTTTGTTGGGAGGTGGGATGATATCTTTTTTGAATGTTAATAAGAGTACATGTATTTGATAACAAAATATATATTAATAATATAAATAAAAATATATAAAATATGTGATGTAATATAATATATAATGTAATGTATTTATATTTTATTAATGTATATTTGTATATAATATATACTATGAGTATAGATATGTAAATGAGTAATTATCTTATGAGACCCTCTCAACCCATATGTGTAGGACCTCAAAAAATCACCATTAAATTTGGTACAAATCTCTAGAAAAATCAAGTCTCACACCCATGTGATAATCTTTTTAGAGATCTATGTCAAATTTAATGGTGATTTATGCACATGGGTGTGGGAGGGTGTCATAGGATCATTACCCTATTTAAATATATAATAGTTTTTATACTTGAAAATTTCGGCAGAGATATGCGATCCTCGACTTTTTTTTTGGGTATAAACTCATTGAAAGGGATATGTACAGAAATGGATCTTGTCAAATTATGATTCGCACGATAGTTAGGCCACTAGGCCCTCTTCCTCTCAAATGGCTGGCAGAGCCGGCTTCTGGTATGCTTGAATCTGAAGTCCGAACGGAAATTTGGAATTCGGGATCGAAAAAGGGGGAGATTTCAACAAGGTTTTAGAAATAAATCCGAAAGAAAATACGAAATAAAATAAATAAAATAAAAGTACTTGAGGTTGGCACCCTGAGCACGATGCTTGGAGACAGTGCCGGTCTAGGATCAGTTGATGCACTACTTTTCCCAGTCTTGCGGGGTCTGCTGAGAGAGACAAATGTAGGTAGTTTAGGCTAGAGAATTGGGGGGAATTCGAAGATTTTAGTTCGGTTGTATGGGATCACAATTCTAGGGTATAGGGTTGGGTTTCAGTTTGGTTATAGCTAGGTTTGGGTTTATTGAGACAGAGCCTAGGTGTATCATTTTGTTTATCCGTCTGCATGGTAGAGATAAAAACTATTTTTAAAGTTTAAAATTATATAATGAGAGATAAAAATAGATTCTCAAAGCATCCTAAAAAAATTTATATCAAAATTACATTTATGATAAAATTTAGAGGTGCGCCCTAATTGAATTGTTTAAGGTTGAGTATAATATATAATATTAAAATAATATAATATACAACAATATAATATAATATAATATATAAATTAATATGCTTGAAATAGAAAAATTCGAAATCAATTACAAACTCTTAAGACAAGATTTTTACTTTGAAGAAATAGAAAAATAAGGGAGTGGTTTCTTAAGCATAGTAAACCCCTTAAGAAATTTCTTGACGACGAATACATCAAAACAATGATAAAGAACAAAATTAGTATAAGGTTCTTTACCTGGTTGAAATATTATATGGACTCAAAAAATAAAAAATTTAACTTGTATACTCCTAAAATTAGGAATCCTGCAACTATTTCTGTCCTTATATAAATCTTACAAAACTTCAAATGGAGATCAAGAAAGTATTCATCCTCCTGAAACAATTGTGGATTTATCTAAATCTAGGGTTGTTCCTTATAAACAGACCTATACCCCTAAAGAAGAGGGAATATTACAAAGACCCGTAAACTTAGAAAGCGTTAATCACCTAATTGAACAAAATAATTATACTAACTTATTTCTAAAAAGTATAGGCCAACAGACCACAAGGATAGAAGAAAGCCTAAATAATAAATCCTTTACCTCAAGACAGATCCAACCTCTTGAAGAAAAGGAGAAACTTAAACCCGTCCTGTTTAAACATGCTATTCCTCTTTCTAATAAAACTTTTAAACCTGGACCAACTCTCAAATAAGAGAATTAATTCTTTGATAAATTAGTTAACAGGCTTGCTACTCTTAAAATAAGTGATGAAAAGAGCAACAAAACTAGAGATAAAAATCCAGCTGCAAACATGCTTGAAGATATTAGCAATGATGAAATCCTTAAACTTGAGGATAAGTTTAGAAATCCTAATCAACCTGACCAAACTAATAGGATAAACTATGGAACAAAGACTAGGCCTACTGTCACTTCAAAGATGTATTATCCTAGACCTTCTCCTATCCATCTTCAATATGAAGAAGATATATTTTCTAATGCTGTTCAATATGATGGGAGATCTATAGTTGAATGAAGTATTGACGCTCCGTCAGAATATTGGAAGATGAATTTAATCAAGCATATGATTATGTATCTAACCATGGAAATAGAGAACCCGACATTGCTAGATCCATAATCAATGGGTTAACAGGGCAACTAAAAGGATGGTGGGACTTCTACCTAAGGGATGATGGGAGAAATACTGTTCTAAATGCTAAAAAATAGACCCTTACCACTGTCTATAACTAAGGTGTCAAACAAGAAATACCTACACAAGATGGTGACTGTGTCAATACACTAATTTATACTATTGCTCTACACTTCATAAGAGATACCTCTGTCTGGAATGAAAGAACCAGAGAACTTTCAGAGAATCTCAAATGTCCTGATCTCTCCCATTATAGATGGTACAAAGATGTTTTTCATGCTCAGTTATTCACCAGAAATGGTGCCAGAGATATACATTAGAAGTTTCAATTCTTAAATGGACTCCCAGCTTTGTTCAGAGAAAAGGTTAAAGCCAATCTAAACAATGCTAATGGAGGGAAATAAATTCCTTATGAAAATTATACTGTAGGCCAGCTTGACAATGAGATTTGTGCCATCGGCTTAGAACTTTGTACTGACCTCAAGCTTAAGAGATAGCTTGAAAAACAAAAGATCAATAGCAAAAGAGAAATGTGAGACTTTTGTGAACAATTCGATTATTACCCCTTTCCTGAAAAAACTCACTCCAAAAAATATAAGGGTGACTCTAAAAGAGGTGATTATAAGAAAAACAAAAAATATTATAGAAAGCAAAAAGAAAAATGTTCAAATCAAATAAAGAAGATTCTGAACCCAAAAATAAGAAGCCAAAAGAAAAAATACCCATTTGTAAGAAATGTGGGCGTCATGGACATTTTGCAAATAGGTGTAGAACAAAACAAAAAATCAATGAAATATCTGATGAAGGACTCAACAGACAGTTAGGGCAAATTCTTCTAATAGGAGACTCTTCTGATGAAGAATTATCCATATATGAGGCAGACTCAGAAGACAAAGTTTTAGAAATCAACATTGAAACTTCTAATACTAGTGAGGCTGAAGAAGACTGTAAACGCGATAATTACAAAGCCCTGTTAGAAATGCAAGGTCTTAGTCTCAATGTACTTTCTGAAGAACAAAATTTGGTTTTAAATATAATTGACCAAATCATTGACCCCCTGCTCTTGTTAAATACCTTGCTAAAGAAAAAACTGAAAGTAAAGTCTTTAAACCTATTTATGATCTCAAACATATAATCGATAGGGTTAATAAAAAACAAGTAATCTCTGAAAGGTAGACTACTATTTCTGAGCTGATGTTTGAAATAAGAAATTTAAAAGAAGAATTACAAACTCTTAACAATAGGATTACCGTTCTTGAGACTTCCAGTTTAGAAAATCTCCATCCACCTGAGAATTTAATAAATGAATTCGAAAATACACAAAATCAAGATGAGACTATTAACATAATTGAGAAATTGATCTTAAACAACTAAATTACATTAATATGATAAATAAAATTATTGCTAAAAAATGGCATACCAGAGTTACAATTATTGTCTCCAAAGAATACAGTTTTTCAGCCATTGCCCTTATTGATTCAGGTGCTGACTTCAATTGTATTAACGAATGACTTGTTCCGTCAAGATTCTTCGACAAGACCACCCAAGTCTTAAATACTGCTAATGGCAAAAGACTTTTAATCAATTATAAGCTTTCTGAAGCAGCAGTTTGTAACAACGGAGCTTGTTTCCTGATGCCATTTATTATGGTAAAAGGACTAGCTCAAAAAATAATTTTAGGGACTCATTTCCTAAGTCTTCTTTATCCCATAAAAGCTTTAGACTCCTCAGGAATTGAATCTGAGATCCAAGGTCATAAAGTTAAGTTTGAATTTATTGACAAACCAAAATTAAAAAAAATCAATCAAGTTATGGTTTTAAAAAGAAATAAAGAATCTTTACTCGATACTCTTAAACGAGAGGTTTTAACCAAACAAATACAAGAAAAAGTTAATAGCCCCTTGATCCAAGAGAAAATTGTACAATTTAAAAATAAACTTGAAAGAGAAGTTTGTGCTGAAATCCGAAATGCCTTTTTGGAAAGAAAAAAACATATTGTTGAATTACCTTATGAACCTGATTTCAATGAGAAATTCATTCCTACCAAATCTAGGCCTATTCAAATGAATAGCCGTCTCTTGAAAATTTGTAAAAAAAGAAATCCAATATCTTCTTAATAAGAAGCTAATTAGAAGTTATTATTCACCCTGGAGTTGTCCAACTTTTTATGTTGAAAAAGCTTCTGAAAAAGAGAGGAGTATCAAGACTTGTTATTAATTATAAGCATTTAAATAAAGCCTTGAGATGGATTAGATATCCAATCCTTAATAAGAGGGATTTACTTAATCAACTTTATGAAGCATAAATATTTTCAAAATTTGATATGAAATCTGGATTATGGCAAATTCAAATTGCGAAAAAGATAGATATAAAACTGCATTTACTGTACCATTTGAACACTATGAATGAAATGTAATACCATTTGCATTAAAAAATGCTCCCTCTGAATTTCAACACACTATGAATGATATATTTACACCATTCACCCAATTTATAATTGTCTATATTGATGATGTGTTAGTTTATTTTGATTCAATAGAACAACATTGGAGACATCTCACATTCTTTTTACAGGCAATTAAAAGTGCAGGACTAGTTTTATCTGGAAAGAAAATCCA